GGGGGGGCTTGTTTGGAGACTGAACTAATAGCCTGAGCTTGGGATTAGAGAAGGAAGGAGGAGAAGAAGAGTGAAGAGAGGAGTGGGAGGGGGAGGGGGAGGGGGGCAGGAACAGCAGTAAAAAAGTAACAGCAATCACTATCATCGTGGTAACAACAAGAACAACAATAAGCACAGAAACTGTGAAAAACAGAACTTCAAAACAAATATAGAATGATCATTAGACCAAGAAAGAGTTACGATTTGGAAACTTGCAGTTCAAACGTCTCCAAATCTTTGAGGTTCATTCGACATTTTTTTCATTAACATCAAAGTAATTGCAGCCACCAATGGATTTTTTGGGGACTTTACATACCAGAGTCATTCAGGAAATATTTCATGAAGTTATGTACAAACACCTTACTTTTTCCATCATCAACTGCGACTTTTGAACCGACAGATAAAACACAACTCCACGCAATCCTTCTGCTTCCTTCATCTCCTTCCTTAAATTAAATACGGCACATACCACACACATACACACATACTTGTGGAACACAATGATCATGACCTCCCCATCCCTCCCATCTCTCTCTCACTATCTCTCTTTCTCTCTCTCTCTCTCTTTCTCTCTCTGTGTCTGTCCCACACACACACACACAAACACAGACACACATACAATACGCCAACACACCAGCCTTAACCGTTAGCATCATGATCATCATATTCTCTGTTTGTCTCAGTCGTCATTGTCTTTAACACAAACACAAACACACTGTACACATACCTACTCACTCTCTCTCTCTTTCTCTCTCTCTCTCTCTCTCTCACACACACACACACACACACACACACACATACAAACCGAACAATCTCTAATACTACAACTTGAATAGTCCAAACGTATTCCCAGGTCGCACGTCTTTCAGAAACGAAGGGTGGCTCACGTATATAGAAATGACATCACCCTTGGAGAAGTTGAAAGTTCCCTCCATATTTGTGCTCCGGACCTCGTTTTGCTTGATGGTCACCTGCGAGAGCACCAGCGTTTTTGGCGTGCCTTTGGACTTTGCGATGATGGCGTGAACGATGATCTTCTCAGCGTCCCCTTCGTCCAGAGGGTTCTCGGTGGTGCTCAGGGTCACCTGACTGTACACGTGATACTTTCCAGACGACCTGATGGTGATCTGGCCTTTGGAGTAGTAGACGCCCTCACCCACGAAGTTCAGGCCCCCTTCCGGGTCATCAGAAATCCAGGACAGCGGGTACTCTGTGAAACGATACAGCGGAGAGGAAAATGGTCAGTACTACTAGGGATGACGTATTCTTATAAAGGTGATTGGAATCGTAATTGTAAATGTTCATG